GCACATACCACACGGAACCCTTCAGGTTCAGGGTGTCCCCAGCCACCCCCAGGAATGCTCTCCTGCAGCCTGACTGGGACACTGCCAGCGCTCATTCCCGAGCCTCACCAACAGCAGCTGGGCCGGAGCCCCCGTTTCTCTCCCACCCCAACCAGAGGACCGATGACAGGCCATTTCCAGAGAACAGAGCTGGCTGCTATGCAGGGACCAGCAATTGACTGCAAACTTGGCCTCATGAGTCAGGCAGGCCCGAACAGGATCAGGGACCCAGCCCTACTGGCTGAGCCTGGGGCAAATCCACAAAGGGGGGTGACATCTGCCAGACCCAGGGCCTCAGAGGCCAGAGAAGACAGCTGGCTCCCAGCTCGTTCCTCACCAGAGGGTTGATGCTCTTGTCAGACAGGTCGTAGTCGGTGGAGGCGTTGTTCTTGATTAGCTTGCCGTCCTTGATGAGGTAGCCCTGGCCAATCTTATAGATCTGCACAAGGGAGAGAGCGTAAGTAAGCCTTGGGAAAGAGGACACAGGCAGGATGGCCGTTAGGGACAGTAATGCCCACTGAGCGGTGGCCTAGCCTGCAAAGGACTCTGGGAAAGCAGTTCTGAACTCAGTCCTGATGGGGTGCCCCAGACTCAGAAGTTACACACAAGCCAACAAGGACAGCTAATTCCAAGTGACACCCAGAGGCTCCCCCACAAATAGTGGTGACAAGACTAACTCTCCTTCCTATGATGGGGTCACCTTTCCCCTCCCAGGGTTGAACCCCTGAATGACCCCATCTAAGCACCTCACCTTCTTGTTGATCTCGGTGCGGTGATGGTAGCCTTTCTGGCCAGCCCGGGCCACCGAGAAGGCCACCCGGGCAGGATGCCACGCCCCGATACAGGCAACCTTCCGCAGCCCTCTGTGGGTCTTGCGTGGCAGCTTCTTGGTGTGCCAGCGGCTGGTGACCCCTGGAATGGACATAGGCTGTTACTGGGGTGCCAGGCACTCTTGACATCGGCCCTTGCCTGCTGAGAAGACCCAGTCGGCAACCACAGGGCTGTTCTCAGAAGGAAGGCAGCAAGGAATGTTTCCGCACAGTGACTCGGGCGCTGTGCCCAGCGCTCATTCCAGAGCCTCATCACTGAACAGCAGCTGGGAGACCCTCCTCCAGAGTTTAAGCCCAGCAACCTGGGCCGCTGCCCAGCTCACCTTTGTAGCCTTTGCCCTTGGTCACTCCGATGACATCAATCATCTCATCCTGTCCAAACACCTGGTTCACGGGGACCTGCTGCTCCAGCCTCTCCCGGGCCCAGTCCAGCTTCTCGGCCACCGTGCCTCCGTTCACCTGGATCTCCATGAGGTGGGCCTTCTTCTGGCGCAGAGGAAGCAGGCGCATCTAGAAGGAAATGGACGCAGCTCAGCCCCCTGCTTCAAGTTCTCCAGCAGAAAGAACATGGTGACCTGACTGCCCACTGGGCACAATTCCCCTTTCAGTAAGACACACACGGCTCACACCAAGATATGCCCACTTGCCCAGATCCCGGCACCAACAACCCGAATGGTCCTGTCCACTGACTGTTCTTTGGACAGTGCCTTTCAGGTACTGCCACCTACCTCGCTCTATTAGCTACCAACAATTCACCTACATTTTGGAGAGCAGGGAAACACTGCAGCCAACTGTATAAACTGCAAGCTTAGAAAAGGAAACAAATGCAGGCCTAAAGCTTGTAGCCGCCCTACAGAACTTTCCTCAGTGGACTGATGTGGTCACTAACTACACAAGGCCACTCAGCACTCAGGAGTGGGGCTTACACCCAGGGAGGGGCCCAGAGCACCGAGGCCCTCCCTATCCAGGCCAGGCCTCCTTCTGCCAGGTGTGCGATGCAAACAGGCATTACTTCACCACTGACTCTTCACTCCTTTCAGTAGTCAGACACTGACACTTAATCATGAGTCACCACCAATTCCTTCAACCAGTTTTCATTACAACGGGGCATCGTTTCCCTAATAACCAAAAGGGACACAGTGCCCTCTGCTGACAAGGGACAGAAAGACCAACCTACAAGTGGAAGTACTGGATGTCTTTCTGTCCAATGGGCCATGACCTGGTCCTAAGAACCGTCTGGCCCGTTGCTGTGTTAATTTCAAATATCCCCCAGGCTGCTCACTGACCGATCTCCTAAATCTCCTAAGTTTTGATGAACCTGAACCAGTCTAACCAGCCCCCTAAGTCCCCAAGTCTTATCACTTAGAGGATGGACTGGAGGTGACTGAACCTCCCAAATAGGCAGCATCTGATATTCGAAGCCCCACGTGACCATAAGCCCCCGCCAGAAAGGAAGCTGCAGGGGGCACCCTGGCAAGTGCTCACCTGGGTGTGGGCGATGACGCGGATGACCTGGCAGTACTTCTTCATGCTGTTGAAGTCCTTCTCCAGCTGCTTCTTGCCATCGTCGTCTTGCCACTTCTTAGAGTACTTGGTGAAGGCCTTCTTCTTGGACTTATGCCTTCAGGAGCAGAGCAGAGTTGGGGAGGGGCCGGGTGCAGGCCTTCATCACCCTCCAGGGGGTGAGAGGAAGGCACACGGGCACCATGTGGGGATGGGGCTCATTGCCGGCTTCTAAGGAGCCTTTTCCACCGGCAAGCGGAGCCTGGATGGAGCTCATCGGGCAAAGCCGAGCGGAGCTGGGCAGAGGTCCACAAGATTAATACAAGTCACCAACATCCAAGCACACGCTAATTCTTGCTCCGGTCTAGCCATTACCCAGACCACACACCCAGGCAGGACTGCTATCTCTTGATTTCTCATGGGACTTTCAATACTTCCCAGAAAGTAAGAAAGAAAATACTGAAAACTGAGTCCTAAGCCAACACCCACTAAGCTGCTCCCAGCTCAGGAAATCAACTGCTCCAAGGGCTGCCTCCAGAATTGTTCTGTTCGAGGCAGCTAAACCCCCCCCCCCCCAGCGCACCTCCCATCACACTGAGCAGCCCTGCACACGTGCTCCTCCCAGCCCTCACCTAGGACCCCTCCCTTACCAGTTCTTATAAAAGCGCCTTTTGCACTCATCGCTGATGTGCTCAGCAAAGATGGTTTTGAAGGTGCGGAGGCCCCGGGGGGTCTCCACGTAGCCCACGATGCCTACCACCACCATGGGCGGTGTCTCCACAATGGTCACGGCCTCCACAACTTCCTTCTTGTTCACCTCTGCGGAGAAAGCAGGCAGTCAGACTCCAGTGGTCTACCGAGAATCCCCAAGGGTTAGTGTTTTACACAAACTGTCAAGTGCTCATGTAGGCTGGGAGGGCAACTTGCTTATAACACAGGTTACAGAAGCAGGGCCCACGTCAGCATACACCGACCACTTTTAGCTTAAAAAAATATAGGACCTGCCCCGCCTGTGTGCTCAGGGGTTAACATTAGCCTATGAAGCAGGAGATTCCCAGTGAAGACACATGCCCCAGTTGCAGGATCCATCCCCAGTAGGGGGCATGCAGCATTAATTTTTGTATCTCTCCCTTTCCCGTCCTCTTTGGAACCAAATATATATATATATGAATAACCCTAATAAGGCAACAGCATGGTTTTCATTCTCTTTGTCATAGAAAGCTCTGTAGACAACACATTTCTTACTACCTGGATAATACAAGCACTCAAAGTCTAAAAGGGTGTCAAGATATCTCTACGGCCAAAGCCGGTTTGGCTCAGTGGATAGAGCGTCAGCCTGCAGACCAAAGGGTCCCGGGTTCGATTCCGGTCAAGGGCATGTACTTTGGTTGCGGGCACATCCCCGGTGGGGGGTGTGCAGGAGGCAGCTGATGGATGTTTCTCATTCTCTATCCCTATCTCTTCTCTGTAAAAAATCAATAAAAATATATTTTTAAAAAAAGATATCTCTATGGTCAGGTAGACATCAGCTACCATGGTTAAGTAATCAGGGCAGTGTTCCACTTGGCAAGTTTTCTACTTCGAAACTCACAACCCAGCCCTAACCGGTTTGGCTCAGTGGACAGAGCATCGGCCTGCGGACTCAAGGGTGCTGGGTTCAATTCTGATCAAGGGCATGTACCTTGGTTACAGGCCTATACCCAGTAGGGAGTGTGCCTGAGGTAGATGATGTTTCTCTCTCATCCATGTTTCTAACTCTATCCCTCTCCCTTCCTCTCTGTAAAAAATATATATTTTTTAAAAAACAACCTTACAACCCAGGGCAGTCTTCATGCCTTTTAGGTCCGCATACTTCTCTACGCTGTGGCTCTTGACAAATTTACCCACACCATGCTCCTTGATGTCAATACATCCCTCCAACCTACAAATGGTAGTGCCAGCCACCTGGGAATGTTAATAGTCTTAAAAAATCGTTTGAGATGTTCTGTTGGTTTCTCAAGTCTCCCCTTTTACAGCTGGGCCCCAACTAGTCCAGTCCCCACCCTCAATCCCTAACTCCCCACCAGCTGGGAGGACCACACAGCGTGTACGTACTGGATCCTGGCCTGTCCACCTCCCGCACGATGTGGGTCATGCCGGCCTTGTAGCCCAGGAAGGCTGTGAGGTGGACTGGCTTGGAGGAGTCATCCTTGGGGAAGCTTTTCACCTTCCCCCGGTGCCGGCTGCTGCGCTTCCGAGGCAGGAAGCCCAGGGACCCATGCCTGGGAGCAGAGAACTTCCTGTGAGACTAAGGAAAAGACCGACATTTAGTACCAAAACTTGTAATTCACTTCTGGGTTCCCAGATGTCCAAATGGTCCCATGAGGGGTCTCGGCAGTGCTGAATCCAGACCCAGCTAAACTGGGTTTGCCTTTTGTAGCATCGCACATCCTGCTGTATTCATCTCAAATGCTCTTTACAATTTAGCAAGATGAACTACCCCCCTTTTCTCTAAATCAGATTAAGAGGTGGCTTTATTAGTCGTAAAGTTCCTGAGCACCGAGACTTCTGGGACAGGCAGATGGGCAGCAGGTAATGGCACTAGAGGCTCCTGTGCCCGCGGTGACACAGGCCACGAGAACGCAGAGCCAAATCAGAACATGACATTCAGCACAGAGTCTCTGTCCGCCCGTCAGTAAGTTCATCATTTGTGGTTTCTGGGAACTCGAGGCCCAAGTTGTCCCAAGCGTCCCTGAAGTTTCGGAATGTGGACTCAACGCCCTCTACCGTCTCCCCTCCTGCCGACTGCTTTGGTTCCTAAACCTCCCAACTGGCAAGAATTATGTCGTCTGGCTCCCCGCCCACGTCTAGGACGGCCTGGCTGAAATGCTCACCGACTCCCATCTAAACTAGGACCAAATTGGTAAGGCCGAGACCCAGAAACAGCCCGTGGCTTAAAAATTGTCGGACCCGGGCACGCTAGCCCAGCTCAGGCCTTCTCCCCAGCAAAGCGATAGGGCCAAGGCCAACCACAGGCCTCGGTGTTTCCCGAAAATAGGCCTGGCTGCGGCCCCCGCTGAGCGTCCTGTGCTCTCACAGCCGGTCCTCGGCGCTGGGGGAGCCGCGATGGCGCCGATGCGCCGCGGACTCAGCCATGCCGCCATGGCCGGGGAGGAAGACGCTAAGAGAGAACGTACCATGCCGCCGCCAACGCTGCCGGTAGAGATCGGCCGGCGCTCGGCGTGCGATATATAAAGCCCCGCCTGGCTCCGCCTCTTCCGGCGTACGAGCGCGCACCCGCGGCGGACGTCGGGTCAGGGGGCAAGCACCGATTCCCCTTTCCACGCATGCGCGTCCTCGCCTTCCAAACTCCAGCGGGACGGGAGTTTGGAAGGAGGCGTTGGAGCCGCTACGGCGAGCGCCTGGGTTCAAACTTAGTAAAACGCCGCGGAAATGTGGCCGAGGGCTTCCTGCAATAAATGTACAGCAGATTCGGACGCGCCATTCCTCTGAAGGAAGATAGCTGGCTGCGTCGCTTCTTTTCACATTGAATGCAGTCACCTCTGGGGTTGAATAACTCAGCTGTGGGCTTCTGCCCAAAACAGTTTCACGCACGGAACCCATTTCCGTCCCGCTCAGTGGATCAGGTTTGTTGCCATTTTGCAGGCACGCAGTTGGAAAGCGTTGCGCTGCTCTAAGTGGGAGAGAAAAGATCGCACCCCTGGTTTTCTGACTTCCAACCGAGAGCCCCTTCCACTGCACCCACTTGCCTTCAGTATGTCCTAATGTGGGCCCTGGCCGGTTTGCCTCAGTGGATAGAACATCAGCCTGCGGACTGAAGGTCCCTGGTTCGATTCCAGTCAAGGGCACATGCCCTTGATCCCTAGAAGGGGGACGTACAGGAGGCAGAAGATCAATGATTCTCTGATTTTTCAATCTCTCTCTCCCTCTCGCTTCGTCTCTGAAATTAATGAAAATATATATTTTTTTTAAAAAAAAAAAGATTTAACAAAGAATGCCACTGAAGATCCTGGACAAACTTGGCAGTCAAGAGAAAGGACAGCATCCATAGACCTGCACTGCAGTATAGCTCACTGGGATATTGCCTTGCATCTCAGTTTCCCACTTGTCAAAAAGAGATTTATTCATTCATTTAACAAATGTGGGGGACCCTTTCCCCCGCCCCACGTGGGAGTCCATTTTGTGGGACTCTCCCTCTCCCCACGTGGGAGTCTAGACTTGTTCTTCAACAAACCTCCACCTTTGCTATAATAAAAATTTGAAAAAAAAACACCCCCACACACAAATGTGCCCTGAGCCTGCCCTGCCTAAGAATGGCTGTAAGGAGTCAGCTGGGTGTGGAGAAGCCAGCGAGGCGGTGGGGATAGGTAGAGGGCTTTCACTCTTCCATGCCAGCCCTCACGGCGGGTGCCTGGAAAGGGGCACTGAGGGCACTGCATTGTAGAGTGCTCCTCTCTACCTAATTACCCTATCAAGGGTAATTATCTATTCTGGTAAAGGTCACAAAGGAGCAGAATCGGGAGACACTCAGGATGGATGGGATCTGGAGAGTACTTGTGTGAGTCTCTGGGGCTATAGGGGTGGGAAGAGGAAGCAGGAAGGGCCCAAGTCAGGATACCCATTTTGGAATATGAGGTATATAGTGTTATTTCTTAAAGGGCGAGATAAATTTATATGTGTGGGTTTGGATTCATTTATGGGGTTAACTGCATCCTTTCTCCTTCCAAGAACATGTCTTAGGCTAAAGAAAAAGGTGAGGGAGTGATGAAGGGAAATAAGACGGGATCTCACCCAAACACATTGCAGAACTCCGCCTATGCTAGAGTAGCCCCCCATTTGGTTCTGAGCCTGTGTGAGGCCAAATATAAACCATGACAATGAGGAGTTACATGCTTGGCGATATCCACACGATAAAAAGAAGCCATTGCCATGTGCGCATACAGCAAGGATGCAGCAGTCTGCAAGCCAGGAAGCAGGTCCTCGCCAGAACCTGAGCATGCCGGTACCTGGTGTGAAGCTTCCTGGCCTCCAAAACCCTGAGAAATAAATTTTTTGTTGTTTAAGCCGCCTCCCCCCCCCCCCGCCCCCACTATCCCTCCACTCCCCCCACCCACCCACCCCAACTCAAAACCAGCCAACCAACCAGTGGCCAGAGTGCACTGTGCCTGAAATCTGAAATAAAACCTGAAACAAACTCCTCTAGGGAGAAGAATCTCCACAAAATACCACGGCCTGGGGGAGTCTATTTTGAAGTAGTGGCATTAGAAAAGCTTTAAGTTAAAAAAATTTGGCTCTCAAAAGAAATTTCAATCATTGTGCTGTTGATATTTGGCTCTGTGGACTAAATGAGTTCGCCAACCACTGCCCTAGGCCTTTACTACGCTGGGCAAGGGGGGATGGTACGCAATATGCAAGATACACGCATACCAGGCAGGGGCTGGGCCGGGGACCTGGTCTCAGCTCAGTCACTACTCTGTGTCCTTGGGGAGGTCCCTGGTGTATTCTTCCCCTTTCTCAGCCTCAGTTTCCTTTTCTGTAAGTATAGATAATAGGACTTCAGGGAAAGAGGGTATATGAAAATGTGCCAATTGTGAATGTAGAGTGCTCCTCCCTACCTAATTACCCTATCAAGGACACTTTTATATTCTAGTAAAGGTCATAAAAAGAAGACCTGAACAAATGGAGGGACATCCTCAATTCATGGATGGACTCACCTAATGTCTTTAAAATGTCAATTGTCTCCAAATTAATATGTAAAGGATTGGGGGGGGGAGGGGGGAAAGGGAGGGACTCATAGACTGATTCTAAGATTTATATGAAAAATCAAGGTCCTTACAAATGTAAGGCATTTTTTGGGTGAAAAAATATGGAGCCAAGAAGAGAACTTCCTCCACCAAATATTAAGACATATTACAAAATCATAGTAATAAAACCATGTAGAGGCAGAAAACCACCAAATATTAAGACATATTACAAAATCATAGTAATAAAACCATGTAGAGGCAGAAAACCAGGCAGAAAAATGGGCTGGAATACCGAGCAAAGACATAAGCCAGCTACAAATGGGAACTTGGTCCATGAACACGTGACATTGCAAACCAGTGGGGAGAGCACAGACCATTTAGCAGAGTTAGAGGCACTGGTTCACTAGCTGGAAAAATTAATTAATATGGATCTTGCAGTAGGTTGAATAGTGGTCCCCAAAATATATGTCTACCTAGAACCTCTGAATGTGGCCTTAAAATAATTCTGTGTCAAAGAGGCATATCTTGGGGTGACATATTCTGGTTTTCTTCGATGATGTTTCTGCACAGGGAAATGGTGCACATCCCGTTAGCCTGTAGGCAGCTCTGTATCCAGAAACACGAAAAGACTTTCAATAAAGACAGCAAATATGGAACAACACAAATGCTATCAACCTATTTATTTAAAGATTACAGCCTGGCTAGCATGGCTCAATGGTTGAGCATCAATTTATGAACCAGGAGGTCACAGTTTGATTCTAGGTCGGGGCATATGCCTGGATTTCCGGCTCAATCCCAGTAGGGGGCATGAGCCAGAAGCCAATTCCAGCATGTCAGCAGGGCTGAATCATCTGGAGATGGCTGAGGGCATTTCCCCACACCTAAAAGATTTGGATAAAGGATTGCTGGCTGCCAGACACCTAAAGGCATTTCAATCTATGTGTTATTGCCTCCTGCTGGCCAAACACCTGAACAGCTGTAGGCAATTCCCCAATCTGACAATGGATTCTGTATACCAAACCCTGACCTTTGTTGTATATCTACTTTGCCTTAAGACAATTTGTGTTAATAAAAAGCAAGAGTCCTGAGACAAGAGAGAACTTAGTTCCTTTAGCAAAGTCTTCTCTGGCTCCCCATGATGCCTTCCAGAAGTATGTTTCGACTCTGGACTCTTGATTAATTTACACATAGCGCTTCTCCAGGTTCCTGAACCTTCTAGATGCTGGATTAAGACCACTGACACTAGGCGTGAGGAGGCAGCCATGCACTGAGCCTCTAGATCACTTATAAAATAATTTGGGGCAAGCTGATTTTTAAGTATTGCAAGCACAATTTTAATATGCAAATTAAGTTTTACAACCTGAAAATAAAAAGAAATTTCTTTTTTTTAAAAATATATTTTATTGATTTTCCACAGAGAGGAAGGGAGAGAGAGAGAGAGAGTTAGAAACATCGATGAGAGAGAAACATCTATCAGCTGCCTTCTGCATGCCCCCCAATGGGAATGAGCCCTCAACCAACGTACATGCCCTTGACCGGGAATTGAACCTGGGACCCTTGAGCCCGCAGGCCAACACTCTATCCACTGAGCCACACTGGTTTCAGCATAAAAAGAAATTTCTCAAGTTTGGCTTTATTATCTTTATTGTAATATTTTGTATTCATTAATTTATGTTCTTACTTTTATACATTTTTTTTTTGTTTCTAATTTTGGGTGGTTCACTCTTTGGACCTTTATCTGATTTCTTAATTTGGTTGCTTTACTCATTAATTTTCAGCATTTTTTCTAGGGTAAGCATTTAAGATTTTAAAAATTCCTTCTGCATACTACTTTCACTGTATCCTCCAAATTACAATTTTAAGGTTTTTTTTAGTTTTAAGTATTTTCTATTTTCTTTTTTTTTAAGGTATATTTTTATTGATTTCAGAGAGGAAGGGAGAGAAAGAG